CAAATCGGGATGATTCGGAGGCAGAGATTTTTCTCTTATTTTAAGTGATTTGTCGTAAAATTCAAGTGCTTTCGAGTAGTTACCCATTTGTCTATACACTTCACCGATGTTGTTGTAGGAAGTAGCCAATGAAGGATGATTCGGAGGCAGAGATTTTTCTTTTATTTTAAGTGATTTGTCGTAAAATTCAAGTGCTTTCGAGTAGTTACCCATGTTGTAATACGCTGCACCGATGTTAGTGTAGGTAGGAGCCAATGAAGAATGATCTTCCGGAAGAGTTTTTCGCTCGATTTCAAGTGATTTTTCATGAAATGAAACTGCTTCTTTGTATTGTCCTTGATGCAATTTCAACCCTCCAAGCTGGTGATAGATATCTGCTCTATCACTATCACTGGACGAGTTCTTCAGTAATTCGTTGTAAAGTTCTTCAGCTTGATTGTAGTGACCCACTTGAAGCATTAGATGGCCCAATCGATGCCATCCTGTGGATCCAAAGAGCTCCCCTTTTATGCGTTGAGTAAGAGTAGCCAATTGTGGATCATTGTCGCCTGTGAGACTTAATTGAACTTCCCATAGACGACTGTTGCTGACCGTTTGTTTAATATCATCGACACGAAAAACAGTGTGCATTGAAAATAAAATTTCTTTTTCACTTTCAATAGCACTGTATTCATCGATGAGGGCAAATGGAGTAGTCGCAGCTGAAACTTTACTTGAATCAATTGTCATGATGAAAAGAACACCCACGATGTCTTTATTCTTGTGCATGGTACGTTGAACAAATTCCATGGCTACCTGTTGTTTTGTACTAGTCGACAAAAAATTGTTGAACGAAAGCAGTCCACCTTTCGTGTCGACTAGGTGCTGAAAGTCTTCTTTGGGGAGCCCTTGACCCCGATAAACAATAAATTTTTTCATATACGTACCTGACTGTTCTCTGTGCAGTTTCTCTAATTGCTGATGCAGATCTCGGATGAAGAAGCCCATTTTTGTCATGGCTTCCATGTCCAA